GAAGTTATCGCGAGAAGAGAAATTTGACCATACCGACGTACAGAAACCCAATATCCACGTCGATAACGTAGTTATGCCGCACGGGAGTGAGTTAGCGAAGAAAAATGATCCAACAGCCGTTACCATTGTATACTGATCTCTATAAATGATTATCACGATTACAATTGCACGTATATGTATATATATATTTCATACGGTTAAATTCAATCCGTAAGTGAAGTTAAACATCAATTATCTTGGAGCACATGCTGTCCATTCGTCATTCGCCGCGAGGCCGTCACGCCGTCGAGGTCGACCCGCAGTTTTCGGCATCGCTGAACCCAATCATTAAATCAGGTCGTGAAACAAGAAAATCGGTTATCACCGAGTGCCAGAACGATTCGCCGACGCGTAAAGAATTTAGTGAAAAGGATTAGCCAACTGAAGTTTCACAGCGTGATTGTCGTCACCGTGTAAAATCGTCCTTGAACAACTACGAGAGAGAAAGAAGGATCAGGAATTTTTATGAATATCAGTTTCTCGTAATTCTTGGACGCGACAGTTTTTTTTTTGGAAAATAACGAATAAGTGTATTAAAAAGTAGTATAAAAATGCCTGAACAAATTTGTCGCGATTACTTCGAGGAGGATTTCCTGCAGAATCAGCTGATGAAATTGGTGAAAAGTTTGAACGTTATCAGACCGAAATTCCGTGTTTCCTTAGCGAGTGACAAAGCTGATAACTTCGTTGGGTGCGTTTACAGAGTAGTTGTCAGCGATGAAAATAATGGAAAGGAATGTTCGCGTCGATCGTTCATATTCAAGGCTCCGTCAAGGGACTGGAGTCGCAGGCGTTTCATGCAATCGTCCTTGCTGTTCGCACGTGAAACTCTCTTCTATGAGACAGTGGTGCCAATTTTTGAGGATTTACTGAAGGAGCGCGGCAAGTCGCTTGATTTCGTGCCAAAATATTACGGCGGCAGCACCGTTGAAAACGAGGAGGTTCGTTATCCGTGTTATCCGATTTCCTTACAACATGACTCCAACAACGTCAAACATTCCCAGTCTAAATAAAATAAATTCAAAGACATATAGATATACATAGAACTAGTACACGCTATTGAAAATTTGTTTGTAAAGTATCTACCTTTTTTTTCCGTCAAAATAGAAATTTTTCAAATAAAGATTTTCCTTCAGACAATAATCCTCGAGGATCTGTCTACTCGGGGTTTCGTCCTCAGGGATCGTTTGCGACAATTGGATCATGCACATGCCTCGTTGGCAGTTCGTTACTTGGGACGTCTGCACGCCATCAGCTTCGCTTTGCGCGATCAGAGACCGGATGAATTTAGAATATTTTCAGGAATGAGAGAAGACGTTTTTCGAAAGGAATGTTTGGAAACTGAAGGATATCGTAATCGCGAAAAAGTCTTTGCTCAGTGCGTAAGAACGGTGGGTATTGAAATTACAAGGCTGTCTTGTTTTTTCAAATTATATAAATTGCCCGAGTAACGTTGTTACTTTATCTTGTTGACTAGGTACTGCAGGACGAAGATCCTTATTACACAGAAAGATTTGAAGAATTTTTGAAGGATTCAGTTGAAAAAGTGCAGCTTTGTTGCAGAGCAGAAACAGCCGAGCCATACAGTGCATTGAATCATGGGGATTGTTGGTCGAACAATCTACTCTTCAAGTACAATGAGGTTTGTTTTGTTAATACAATGACGTCTAAAAATGATTTAAATACGCAAAAAAATGACTGATAATTTTTTATTATTTTATGTCCTTCAGGCAACAAACGAACCGACCGCAATGTACTTTGTGGATTTTCAAGTTTCCCGTTACGTGTCGCCCGCATTGGATATTCACTATTTACTCTATTGCAGTTGCAATCAGAAATTGCGAAGCGCTTATTACGACAAACTGATTGAAGAGTATTACGACTCATTTTCAAAGTACCTCAGGGAATTGGGTTCAGACCCAAATAAACTGTTTCCAATGGAAGCGCTGCAGGAGCAGCTGAAGAAATTTGGAACGTTTGCCGGCGTCGCGTGTTTAATTCTAATTCACATGTTCACTTTCGGTAGAAGAGATGTTCCAAATGTCGACGCGTCGAATGACGACGTGAAATGTTTGCAAGAAAGATTGAAGAAAGATCATTTTTATCGCGAAACTTTGCACGACTGCTTCAAGGATCTGATCGACCGTAATTACATCTAGAGCGACGCGCATGCAGAATTTAAGAATTTTACAACCGACGAAAAAGTTTCATTCGTTAAGCTTAACTCATAGTTCTTTACGTCAACAGTTTTTACGACAGTTTATTACTTATGTATCTTTTTTAATTATACAAAATAACGAGCTTCTTTTCGATAGAAAATGTTACGTGCAATCATTTCTTCTTTTCCATCAAACTAGAGTAGCGGTCGCTCGAAGCTCAGTAGTAAGGTCTTCGCGGATTGTTCTGTAATTATTTCACTGTTAGTAACGAATAAAAATATTTTTAAAAAGATTCATATATCCGTTACAATGATTACCAATGGATTAGGCCTAAATCTGTAAGCCAACATCATTCGTTTTCTATACGCATCAAATTCATCATCGTCCCGAGATATGCCATCAGGTCTTTCCGAACCAAGTCCGGCACTGTCCAGTCTATTAGTAGCTCTAAAAAAATTTTTTAAATTAAATTATAACACAAAAATTGAAAACCTCTAAACTATGAAGTCACAGGATCCGAACAGGAATAAAGTCACAAAGTTCATACTTGTTCACCGGCTCTACTCGACCGCTTCCTTCACTACCTAAACCTTGACCTTCGCTCCAGCCAAGCTTTTGTAACATTTGAAAACCTAAAGGAACAAACGTTTCACCGGGTCAAGTAAATAGGTTAGGTCGAAGCATAATTTTTCGTTTACAACAGTAAATGGTAAATCATTAATAACCTATGTTGTCTTCCTTCAACTTGTACTCCTTGTAGTCACTAAGATCAGGCTCCTTTCCCTCCTTAACCGCATTGTACTGTTCCATAAATTTCTTCAACTCGTCCGGAGGCAGGAAGTCGCCAATGTGATGCTTCCCTTCCGCCTGCGCAGTCAATTCCTCAGCCCACATTTGCGTAGCTTCCATCTCAGCTGATCTTATCTTGTGTTCCCACGTGCCGCCTTCCACCTCCTCGTCGCTGTCATACTCGTACTTGTGTTTACCTTGAGCTTCCAGGCGCTTCACCTCTTCGCGCTTCTTCAGTAAATTTTGATATAATAGATTTATCTGAAATAAAAAAGAGTTGATTGATCGTCCAAGGGATCGAGGATCCGAGGATCAAAGGTGGATTTATGTTATTTTTTAAATATATATTTCACCTTGTAATGGTCCTCCGCTTTTTTCCATTGCTCTTCACTGAGATCCAGAGTGCCAAAGGTTTGTCTGGCATACTGAATCAGTGCTGGATCATTCCTGGATATTTTACTTAGCATTGGATTTTTTCCTTTGGTATTCTGCGTCTTTGGCGACGGTATAATCACCGCCGGTTGACCGATCTGTCCCGGGATTGCTATGCCTGGCTGGGACATCTGTCCAGGTGTGGATCTTGATCCTGGTGTAACGTTTATCCCGGACAAAGGAACCTTGTTTTCAGGATCGCCCCATCTGCTACGTCTTTTTCTTTTACGCTCATCGCGATTGTCTTCCTTGTTGTTATCTGTTTACAAGAATCAAGTACTTCAGTATCAAAGTGGAGAGTTCAAGTTTCATTGGATACTTCCGAGTTTACCATTCTGAGATTGTTTTGGTGGTTTATCGGTATCGTCATTGTCACTGAGTGCTTCTTCCGGACAATATGGTTCCGCTCCACTACCGCTTTTTCCCTCTTTGCCAGCCTTTTCAACGCGAAACTTCGCCACCAATCCCCTGTACTGCTGATACGCTGCACTTTGCTTTTGGTGCAGAAACCTTGATTAAAATAATACTTAAAACGCTGCCAAGTAAGATATACTCCTAGATGTAGTGTCGCACTTTACAGTTATGGGATATAAAAAAAAAAGAAAGTATCTGTCATAGGTTTCTTTTCAGTCCTTCATTAAAAGCGAACGAATTACCGAGGTCGAGCGAATTTTTATAAATTTTTTCTCGCTGAATATATGTACAAATGATATGCAAAGACTTGTATGCGGTTTTAATAAAGCAGTAGAAAAAGTCATCAAGGATATCGTGCAGAACGTGATCAATTTTCATAGTTAATCATTTTCAATATAGAACATTCTTCATGATTTTCATTGGTGCACAGATAAATAGCACTATGCAAAGGATACAGGATTGTTATTCGATAGGACACTATTTATCCATTTAATGCAAGAACAAAAGCATGGTGTAAATAAAATATGCAGGTCCCTTGGGAAATAGGATTTTGAAAACAATTGACACAAGTCCCCATGAAAGAAGCGCACTTGTATTTATCAGAAATGATCTAACGTAAGCATCTTCAAGAGTGCACAAATAGTCAAGGAACAGAAAATACAATATGGCATTGCGAAACAAGTTCGCAGTAACAGAAGTTGTGTGAAATTTTATCCATAGTACTGATAAGTGCTCAAACACTGCAACCATGATAGTGCATCGTAAGAGAGCACAGGAATTGGAAAACTGGATATAAACAATTGGGAACCAGTCAGGACAGTAATTACCATAATTTTGGATCTTGGGCATTCTTCTCCCGCACTTCCTGTTCAATTTCGTCACCGCAATCAGCTACGATCCGCGCCAACTGTTCAGCTTCTACGGGACACACTTAGAATCCTTCATCAGACAAGTGTAATCGTACCAGAATTCTATGACGTATTCAATTAACAATTTTCTTTATGGTGTCTTTCAATTTTATCTTTTTCTGTTATCTAACGCGAGTGCAGTATGTGAAATGTCGATTTGTTGATCTGATGGAGCTGTTATCACTATATAGAATATGTTTCTTCGAACGCACGAATGATCTGAACGTCCTACCTAATTGATCAGGAGGCTGTAGACTCGTTGGTGGCCTTACTGGAGGTGGAATCTGGACATTTGGTGGTCCCACATTAATAGGCACCTGATTCGGCAATGGATAACTTGTTGCCATAAGATGTGGTGGTGGTGGCGGTGGTGCATTTTGGATTATTGGTGGAGGTGGTACGTTTGGCGGTGGCACGTTTGGAGGTGGAATATTAAGATTTGGTGGTGGTACGGAATTTATAGTAGATGGTACACTGTGCACAGGTGGAGGTGCAGACATTATCATGGGTGGCATTACTGTCGGAGGTGGTAAATTAGGTACACTAGCTACTGTCACTACTATCGCCTGTGTTGTCATCGACAACATGTTTGGTGGCATTTGGGACATTGGTGGTAGTATGTTCGGAGGTGGTACATTTGGAGGTGGAATATTCGGTGGTTGCAAGTTAGTCGGCGGTGGAATATTACACTGTTGTGGTGGTGGTATGATGTGCTGCGCTGAGGAGGATGGTATGCCAGGTTGTAAATTTGGTAAAGATACGTTCTGGGAAATTTGCATGCTAGGAGGTGGCACATTTGTATTAGGTGGCATACTTTGTAATGGTGGTGGAGGTCTTATTATATGAGGAGGCGGTATAGGCATTCTTGGATTTCCAGTGTGGTTTTCCATGTTTGAATAATTGTTGTTAACGTTTTTAGGTGGTGGTGGCATTCTGTGCATGTTTGGTGGAGGAATGTTAGGTGCCATGCCGCGCATGTTAGGAGGTGGTACGTTTGTCATTTGCATTATAGGCTGTGACATTAGTGGCGGAATGGAAGAGGGCTGACTCATGGTCTGAGGTGGAAATTGTTGTTGATTAAAGTGTGGACGTGGACCATTTGGTGGAGGTTGGTGAAAAGTGTGTCTTGCATCAGGACTTGGAGATGATCTACGTCTTGTGGGTGATGGACTGGATGAGGAACTGTGTCTTCTATCCGAAGATCTTCCCCAGCGAGAATCGTTTCTTCTACGATCCCTTCTGTTTTCCCAGTCTCTGCTTTTGTCGTTGTTCCATCTACGATCTCGATCACGTGTGTTCTCGTAGTTCCTCTCATCCTTGCGCTCATCTCTCTTTTCCTCAGATTTCATTGGGGTTGCATCTTGCTTACTAGGACCTTTGTTACTCGCTATTTTCTTAAATTGGTCCAGAAAGCTTCCATCATTAGCAAATAAATTCACTGTCGGGGATGCAGTTGGCTTCTCATCGTCTTTTCTATAAATAAACAGGTGCATCACTTGACCTCCATTTGTTGCATTAAATTAAGTATGTCTATTAAAGGGAACACATTGAATTGATGATTTCTCAACCAATATTCTGAGTCATAACATAGCTATAGATTAATAAACATAAACAGCATACGCATGGACAACGCTATCCATATCAAAACAAAAATAATAAAATCATGTAACAGTTACAGAATGTATTGAGAAAGAGATAAAAACATCAATAAAACCATGAGAAACCATACAATAGTTAGCCGGGGATAAGATATGTATAAAGTAATAATAGTCAATAAAAGATACAAATGCAGAATTCCATTCTAAAACAATAGATTATGCAACTGCAAGAAACTTGGCTGCACGCATTGCAGTATAAGCGAGCCGACTAAAGAGAGCAAAAAAAAGAAAAACGTCTGCAGACATCTAACCTCCAAATATTCGAGAAATGTTAAAACGTATCAGAAGGCAAGCATGTGATAGCCTTTCTAATATAAAGATATGACACGTTCATCAAATTACTTATTAATAACTGACAAGTAGAAACGCATCCACGACACACGATATATTGCGAATAACCCGATAAATTGGGTCACACCTGCACAGGGCAAGAGCCCAAGCAGCCTAACAGTATTATCTAATTACGGAAACACCAAGAAAACAGAAAAGCAACATGTAGATAAAGTAATCGTTTTAAAAGAATCCGCAAAAACATTGGATTTGCACAAAATAAACTGTCGCTGACCTATCGTAACAAAGCATTTGAGCGGGAAGATGAACTATATAAAGTCCGAGCAAAGAAAATAAATGATATAGGTGTCGTCAAAGACCAAAAGTATATTCGAAGTAAAGTAAGTCGATTCAAGGGATCCTCCTTAATTAAAACTCACTTGAACGCAGGAGGATTCGGTTTGGCGACAGAGACAGAGGAGGCTGAAGACGACGACTTCTTTACACTGTCAACAGCTTGCTTCGCTTTCTGCTCCTGCATCTTTGCCTGAATCTCCAACTTCTTTTGCTGTATTATCTGTTCCTGCTTCGACATTTGCGCGAACCTCTCGTTTCGCGATGTTTTCGAAACAAACGGGTCCGAACCCTTCACTCCGCGATACGCCATGTTTATCGTCTCGCGATTCAGGGCATTCGGGAACTGAACTGAACTGAACCTACGAGTGAAGAACCACTGGCCTGCAACGTCACAAGTGCATCCCGGAACACGTGACCTGCGCGATGAGCATGCGCACCGGGTATATCGTCGACTTAATTTCAGCCTGATTATTTCGTGAATTTCTACAGAAAATAGCTAAATACGTTCGATTGTTATAAAATTACTTAACAATTTTACACGGAAGATTAACGTAGAATTACAATATCGCATCCGAATAGCGATTACGTATTTCTTTTTCGAAATTTTCAGACACCTAATTATCTGTCTGCACGTTTGCATACTGCAGGCGCTATATATTTTACGATTAACGATGTAACCAGAATGTAACAAAAGCTTCGTATGGTCTACAATGTAATTAAGTCTTCCAAACGCTGAAATGGCAATGTTTGATTATTAGATAAGCCAAACAACCTATTGATAACACGCGTGTAAGATTCCCAATAGGTGTTGTAGTTAACTAACAATAAAATATGATAATAATAAATGGAAAGAAGAATAATGGACAACATAAATGCATAAATGCCGACACTGAGGACATAAAATGTAGTTCGGATGTTCTGCGTTGTGTTTTAACAAAACTGATAAATTTGGCGGGTACACCGATTGCGATAATCTTTTGAAATTCGAATTTTGTAAATCTACATCAGAAGCAGGAATACTAGCAGCCTCCCCTTTTATCCCTATGAATTTACACATTTAGAACGAGACAATTTACTTGGAATGTAATTGGAAAAATTATCTTACTGTGAAAATCTGATAAGACTAAGTCTATTCACCTTTGCCAAAGCTCCAACGTACTCAAAATACATTAGCTTATAAATCTAGAAGTGATGTTACGATCGATCTTTATTATTTTACACATTTAATTAAAAATATACACGTTACTGATATCAATTACATTATATTACACGAGATGAATACGTAAGCATACATGAGGTAGTACACGAAACGCATATCGATATTACATTACATATAAATCTCGGTGACGTCATTAAGTATCTTGAAAGTAAAAAAATTCTAAGTACCATCCATGCTCTCGTATGTAGCAAACAATACACTCGTTACGAGCAATAGCTAATTAATAGTTTCTCTTGCAGCGCTGAGAATGTCTCGTCCTCCACTCGGGAATAACTTCCTCTAGAAAAATGCACCGTTCGCCAATATGGGCGCAAACGTCGCAGGGATTACGTATGATCGATGAACAATTTGTTCTCCACGTCGCCGTTCCCGTTCTCATTGTATCGTAAGATGAGTCTGGCCTGTCTGTTGTTTGACTTTTCATTATTATTTCGCGGTTCCTCCATCAAATGCACAAGCACCGTCTCATCGGGCTGATGGGAGCCTCTGTTGAGGTTCAAATTTGAGTTTCTCGTCTGCTGTCTCGAAAGCCGAGTACTACCGCCACGCGTTGCCAGCATGAAACTCGCATGTGTGGTAGTGCTGCGATGCTGGATCGTTGAGCCATCCCTAAAATCAAGATCAGCATTAATTCTCAATGAACTTAATAAACGGAGCTGGAACTTCGTCTTGAGTTTGCCGGGGCAAAATTAAAGAATGGTCATTGTTACCGATAGTGGCTGCCTTGTCGTCTGCGTTGGGGCCAAAGATGAAAAGCCCCGTATATAAGTGGATTGACAAGACTGTTGCTCATCCCGAAGAAAAATATCCCGCTTTGCATGTCGTTGCTCAACTGAAAAAAAAAATAGACCTACGTTATTACCGTAAATCAGGATACCATTGCCGTGGTAGTTTACCTTTAGTCGGTAAGTACGCGACCGCCTTATCGGCGGAGGATAAAGTATATTTAATAATTTATTATTATACTACGAAATCACCACATGCGATGGTACCAGGCGAGTATGCTTGCGCGATAAAAGAGTTACGGACTTGTCAAATAAGTTATACACCGTTCCCATAAAATCTTATCGATGGATATCAACAGAAACTACACCGACCTTTCCAATCCTGACTCGCCGATCTTCCTTTTGCACGTGCAATTTATCAAGCAGCTATCCGGGACTTTTAACCCCTGACCATCCTCTGCTTTCTCAACGCCCATTAAAATTGGATCGATGTCACGTTAAACCTGTTGTAACGGTACTAGGGTATATACACATAAACGTACTAATAACCTGGATGTATCCCTCTACCACGTGTACCGTCGCCGACAGCGACAATGCACGTGTAAAAGGTATAAAACCCTAGGAATTATGAGCTCGTTAAAGACGTTCATTGGTCCCTGAGCTATTTCATTCCGGAAACGTCTACAAGCCTGCAATTAACCTACGAGCATCCGCTTATCCTGATGCATTTCTTGGGCATCGTCGTTTCGCTGAGGTCGATGGAAAATTGGAGCAACCTTCTTCTTTTCTTCTTTTTTTTTTTTTCCTTTCCTCGAATACTCACGTGCTTGTCCGGATTGAGGAACATGAAGATTATCATCATGGTGTAGTACGGCGTCCACCACAGAACGAAGGCAGCAACTATCACCACGCTTATGCGTAACGACTTGGTCTTGGCGCGATGCATCAGTCTGCGCCTGTTGACGTCACCTGACACGTGATTCAAATTGCTGCTTGCCAATTCGGCCCTGAAGACCCTTTCGCTACCTGGAACAACAGGAGGGCGGGTTTTATTTTTAGTAAGACGGAAGGGGGCGGGGGTTTATACTAAACTCATTTCGATTTAGAGAACGATGCACGTCACTGATTTAGCCCTTACACGTGCTACTCGAAATTCATCTATCGATATGTGCGATAATATTTCCTCCCCTAACTCTTTAACTTTTTACTCCTTCACCCCTATTTTGATGTATATATGTACAGCATATAACTTTGACGTTTCCGTTTAATTCAGTGGAGCAGACGGGTGAATTGGGTACAGTAGCTTTTAGGAATGAATACGAGATAATGTACAAAAAAAATTTTTTCAGCACCTTCGAGAATTACGATTCAACCCTAATGGCTGTTTACGAGTCCAGCCCGTGACTTAACATTAATCATAAAAATGATCGACCCTTGTAACTTTATCAGTCATCAAGGTTCTCGGGGATGTTTTAAAACACAACAAATTCAAGGACCACGTGCTCCCCTGTACTTTACCATACGTTCGAGTGCTTAGAATTTATTCGGGATCTATTAGGGCAAACTTAGGGGATGAATTCCCTTCGGTACTCTGGGGTAGGGATATTCGTATTCCACTGGTGCGACTAGGGAGGAAACAGGACGGGAAGAAATAAAAAAAAAAGAAACTTACGAGCTATCGTAACTACTGTGGATACGTATGTGGCGATTAGAATGGCCAATGGCAGCAGGAACATGAAGACCAGGCTGAGGGTTGTGTAAAGTTGCTCCTGCCAAGCTTCCGTGTAAAAACCATGAGTCACGCACTGATAGAACTCTTCGACGAAGGGTCCTCGGGCTACGTGGAATATTACCACCTGTTAGGGCAAAGCAAAAGAAAATGGCATTAAAGAAGAAGAAGAAGAAAAGGGATAAGCTAGTTTTTCTTTTTTTACTGGGTTACCCAAACGGTACCGAAATAAATGTATATTGCACTGTGAGGAAGATTGGGTCTCGAAATGGTGGGTAAAGATCTTGTATCCTGATGGCACCAATATGGTTGCCGGGATGAAACGCAAGACACATGTGAAATGTTCTTTGGAAAAATTGTATGAATATATATATTTTTTCATATTGTATACAATTCACTGTTACTGTAATTGGCCATTAACATGATATCTTATATGTATGAGGGTATATCGTGATATTTTTTTATTTTGTTTTCTTTTTATCACGTTTTGCGCCGCCACTTATTTGGCTGATACGTAAAGCCACTTGGTGTATAAATGCATGTGGTTGAGGAGTATCTGAAAAGAATAATAATTTTTTTTATCATTTTACAAAACCCACACGGTACCGTGTACAAATGTCTTTATCGTGTTTTGATTTGGTTGCAGAACAGTTTACGACAGTGAACGATGTCGTATATTCAGAACTTTATGGTTCACCATTGATTTTAATAATTTCCTAACTTATCGAGACTCGCATTTTATATTATGTATTTAATTTATTTTTTAGGTCACGAAAATTTACATCAATTTCAACGGAACTGAGACTCGTGTTAGGGTTTTTGAGTGTTGTCACGGTGATTATGATAATAGGATAAGAAATTACGAACGGTGGGGAAAAAAAAAGAAGCTTTTATCGAAAATCGTAGATTTTCAAATTTTTAAATTCACGACGCTCGACAATTTAAATTCTCAGTATTTTTGTATTGAAATTTCGGTCGAGCAGCGACGCTTCGTAAATCTCGCCTTAAAGAGGGAAAAGACGGAGGCGTCTTTGGCGTCGTTAAATACCCGACGCTTTTGTATACATAAAGACTGGGCTATCAGGATAACAGGCTGATATTGTTATTCCCATAAAGTTTCCTTATAACAGATCTTTTTCTCGCGTCCTGCAACAGAAATGGTACTGGCAGCCACCCACGTGTAAACGAACGATATATATCCAGTTTGAATGGAACTTTATGTAATGGCTCGAAATACGTTGTATTTGTGGATATGTACAAAAAAAAAATGTGAAATAAAAAAAGAAAGCATTCATCCCTTAAATTATTTGACTACGAGAAAACATTAGGATTTGTCGTTCTTGAGGCCTTTCGAAAAGGAGGGGACGCGGTCCTCCGTGCTACGAATTTTCAGCGTTCGACTAAGGGTCAGGTTAGGTTAGTCAATGTTAGCAGAGAAATCTGATGATGAAATCTTTGTAATCATGATTTCTTTTTATTTGTAGGGGCGACCGAGAGGAATCGGCTAATTTCGTTTTCAGCAAATCGACTCGATCTTATTTTACCAAGATTATTACTTTTTTTCAGAGCTCTGAATTCCGCCCCTTTGCTCTCGCTACCCTTTTTTTTTCCCTTATTTTTTTTTAATACCCCATCATCCCCTCTGTTCTCCTTTATTTTCTCGTTCCACCAAGATCATTAGTCCCCTCTGTGCAAACGAGATAAATTCCACGGTGAAACGGGTCCCTGAATATTTTTTTATGTTTTACATAAACGAAAGCAAAGACAAAGGACGAAAAATATTGAAATCCTTAAATCTTGGAGGTTTCAACAGTTCAGAACGTTCCCGCGGGTAGTCCCAGGATGACTCCTCAGGCTAAGAGGAGTCAGGTAAATTCTGAGGTCTGTGTGGATGGTGATTGAAATAATCGAGGACAGATAAAAAATTCCTTATGGCTTTATGCCCACATAGAGGGCCAAGTGCCAGTCATAGTGAAATTCATGGAAAAACCCAATAGCCTCTGTCAATATTGAAGATCGTAATTTGTCCAGGTAAACAATTTTTTTTTCTTTCACGATTATCCACAGGAGACTTCGGAAAGACCAATTACTTTTTTCGAAAATAACTCACCCAGCATATCCGGGGTCATAGCTTTTACTTGACTCCTACTCATAAATATAGCCATGGGTCATCCACGGATATTTCAGGATGAAATTACAAATTTTGATATCAAAATGCAAATGAAAACACCGAGGAACTTAAAATCAAGACTCTGCCGATCCGTGACTCGAGTGCCTGATTATTAAATGGAATTGATGCCGCGTTGTAAATAAATGTCAGAAATTGATTTCAAATTTTTCCTCATTGATTGACACTTTTGACAAATTTACCAAAACGTCGCATTGACCCATACATACAAATATCTGACACGTAATTTCTCAGGCTGGTTTTCTATTTATCTTTTCATCGGTCAGTTTCCACGTTCCGGGATGTCGCAACGCGGAACTAATGGACCGTATAATGAACCAATGATCGAATGGAATTATCTTCTATCATATTACCCGACAATCACCTGTTTCACCATATGTCTAAGACTTTCGACGTCCGTCCTCCAATTTTTTGTGTTCCACCTCCCCACTGCTGTAACGTAACAGCCGGCAACTTCCCTGAGTTTGCAGAGGATCCTCGAGCGAATATGGGGAAAAAAAAAGTTGGAGCACGCAAAGAAATTTTTTTTTTTTTTTTTTTTCTAATTCACCATATGTCTAAGACTTTCGACGTCCGTCCTCCAATTTTTTGTGTTCCACCTCCCCACTGCTGTAACGTAACAGCCGGCAACTTCCCTGAGTTTGCAGAGGATCCTCGAGCGAATATGGGGAAAAAAAAAGTTGGAGCACGCAAAGAAATTTTTTTTTTTTTTTTTTTCTAACGTAACGCGAAACATTCATTTCGTTCATTCTTTATTGCTTGGGTTACTTTTTTCCGCTTATCTGAAAATTTTCACCTCGCCGATATCTCCACTGCGCGATGGGTCGTTCGTTACTCAATGCCAGAACTGGGGAATTAGTGCAATACGCGGAATACGAGTATTATTCAAATGAATTGACAAGCATGAATAGCCAATGGGTATTAAACGTGTTAAATATCGTGACAACGTGACCCTGACCTCGGAACGGGCACACGGCATAGGATGAGAATGCCGCATAATCGTATGGCCGCTGAAAAAAGAGTTCTGGCCGTGTCATTGATAGCCTTAGCCTGGAGTTATAAAATTAATTAACGCATTGGGTTTATTCAAATTGAACTTCCCGTCGGACGGGCGTGCTGGCGGAGGAAAAAAAAAAGCACGTGCGACCACTTAGATTTTGACGTATCTTATTCGCGAGGACGGGTACCCGGTACTCGATTTTGCTGGTCGGATGAAAATTGATTTTGAAAAAAAAGATTTTGGACTTTTTGGTCTCTTATTCAATTTTACTTTCGAGACAGACGGCATTGGCGCTCTTCGATTGGTCATATTGTGGATTTATGACTTTTGGCATTTTGGAAATGGAAGAAAAATTGAAAAATTACTGGTAGAGAGAGTTTCTTTGATTTTTCTTTCCTTTGTTCTCAGAGGTAATGAATTTTTTATGAGTCGCCAAAAAGTTTACTTGATTTCAGGTATTTTTGTTAGACGAAACTTGAAAATACGGGCGACTGCGATGATCGACTGAATGTAATGTAAAACTGATTTTTTGGTTCGATGACCAAACAATAAATATTTACGTTCATTCCGTCCAGCGGTGCAGAATAATTTGCAGAGCTACTAGAGGCGACTGTAAAGTATAAGGGACGATAATTATTTAAAAAAATGTCTTTAAATTCAAGAAAAACAGTAAAAGATAATCGCGCGTGCACGTCCTTCTTCTTCTTCATCAAGATTGTCAACTGACAAATATTCACTTTCTTTTATTTCTCTTAACGACCATCAACCCGCTTGTTGATTCGTCATTCACTTCAGTCGCACGAGATGATTCGGTAACGTGAGAAATCCAGTAAATAAAAAAAATCACGTTCGTCGGCGATGTTCGATCTTGGTTAGCAGCGTAGAAAAGAAAAAAAAAGAGGAAAAAAAGTGCCCCTATAAGAACACAAAAACCTGCTGGTATCCAAAAATCATTATTTCTTTTCAAAAATCAACACACGTCCCATGTCATAAATCATGGTGAAGCAGTCGTCAAAGTCATTGGCCCAGATCTTGGCAGCCATTAAGAAGCTTCAGAATGTCCGTGGCTCAACGTCAAAAGAGATCATGAATTACATAACGACCGAATACGACCTGCCAGAGTCAACGGTAAAACGACAGGTGAGTCACGAGCGAAAAAAAAAATACAATTAATTTTCAAAAATATTTCCAATCTTATGCTTTCATACGCACAATCCTCGTTTCAACGTCCAATCGCGTAAGAGAATTTCCAAGCGTGACTCTCAACTCCCTAGGGGATTCCCCTGACTACATAACATAATAAAAAGATTCTCCTCCGTCTCTCCTTGTCCAATTCAGATGCGTTCAGCCCTGAAACGTGGCGTCGACTATGGAATCCTGAAGAAAGGACACGGCCAATATTGCCTGCCAGCGGAAACGGCTGCCGGTTGTCAGGAAGTGGCGACTCAGGAATTGGGAATCCTGGGTCTGTGTAGCAAGCATCGCTCGATGAGATCGCGGAGGGGTCGAGGAAGACGACGACGCGGGAAGCGTCGCCGTCGCCGTCGTCGCGGCGGCAGGCGAGGCAGAAGACGCAGGAGGAGTAGATACAGGAGACGCGGCGGCGAGCGGCGAGTCACGGGCGATACGCTCAAAGGAATTCTTCGTATGAATGCGCACAGGCCTTGCGCTCTGTGTTGGAACTTGGGTCGTTCGCCGCCAGGTGAAGAGTCGGCGCGATGATCGATCATTTAACGAACTGCGATTCATTCGATTTTGTCAGTCTTTACGTGTCGCCGTGCGAAGCTTTGTACAATTTTATTTCTCTAAGACTATTATTTATTCATCGAACAATATATTTACATTACTTTTTGTCCCTGTAATTGGTTTCATTAATCTTTTTATCCTTCTTTACCGACTGCGCAGTGCATTTTCTGTTACCGACAGCGTTAGCCCTTCGACGGGTCCCGCGCGTCTTTCCTTGGGCGACTTGATACTCATTTCATTCGACAGCCGATTCTTGTCATTCTTTTTCATGGACAAATTTACATGTAATCGTGACGTTGGACAATTTTATTGATTACTATCTTTTATTCCTTTATATAAATTGTCCTCGTGACTGTTTCGATAATGGGAATAGTAATAGTTTTCGTGCAGAAAATTCGTTTTTGGTCAATCATAAATATAGATTAGTCGAGCTATATGTATTATTGAAACGAACGGTTATAAAAGTTAAACTTGATTTCCAGGGTAATTTCAATTTGAAACTTGTTTATGCTAAATGTCAATTTTTTTTTACAAATATTCTTCTTCTTGAGAATAACAGAATTTCTCGTTCAATGTATTTTTCGTGTTTTACCCGCTAGGTAGAACCGGGTATCAAATAATCATGCTGTACGTTTTTTCTGAAAAGAAACATTTAGTTACACACAGTCTCTCGAAAGGCAAATTTAATTTGTTACTTGCGTAAAATTGTTATTGTCGAAATTTCGAAAAACGATGACGCGTTCTATTCAATTTTGCTTTACGGCTAAATTATCGATTCCCGTTCCTTCAGTTAAAATAATAACGATAACTCCGAGTCTGAAAATTGCCGAGCAATTGGACACGATGAAATAAAATTAGGGTTCGTGAATATTTCGATAATGCTCTGTAATTTTTATCAGAGAGGTGAGTGCCTTTTTTTTTGCAATCGAGGTAAAAGCTCTGGACGGTAGAGGAGAATACTTATAATTCGCAAATTTATCGCAATTTCTATAGCCACGTAAATAACATAGAAATGTGACGTTTCAAGAAGAAACTAAAAATATCTAAATTTTATAATAATATGCAAATGTACGTTACAGTTGCATAACGGGTGTCTGTTATTATTTCTCATATAGGGCCGCGGATCTAAGAAGAAATTCAATAAACACCGATTAGATAGGATATCACGCCCGGCCTTGTATCAAATATTGTAATCCTTTTAGATTCTCGTTTCCTGAAAACTTTTCTAATAAGTTCGTGACTGACCTTATTTTTTTTTTGAGGGAAGGTTCAAAACGTGCATGCAAATGAAAGATAGGACACTGTAAAAAAAAACCATAGACAAAAAAACGTAATCACCAATCTAACCCAGGTGTAAAAAAAAAATTCGTTTAAAATATTAATTAGCTTATACCAATTATCAAGGTCGGAAAACTCGTCGAGAAAGATTTGAATTTTCGACCTACCCGGTATAAAATAACTAATCGACGCTCTTTTGGGAAGATCTAAAATGAATTAAGGTAATATGGGAAAAAAGGTGTAAAATACCTAATTCAAGGTGACGTCTAACAATTCAATATCACCAGTGGATGATAAACTCTCGTAACTTAAGTCAGCGTACCTATGACGCGTGTAAAAAAAGATTGTTAGAATTTGAAAAAAAAATATATATATAATTACGTATGCACGTAGCTTAAACGGCAGAACCGGGAAAAAATGGAGTTTCACCCATCGTTAATAAAATTTCTTTTGATTACACGAGACTCGAAGCTCCTTATGTAATTTACTATACTTATGCAATATGCTGTGCGTGCACGTACATACATAAAGACACGTGAAAATGCGACATATGAAAAAGCAACGTATACCGATCGGGAGTAATAAAATCTGAAAACATGTTGATCTTGAAAAACGCAAAAAAGTATATGAGAAATAAAGGGGGGAAAAAAAAAAGAAAGGGAGAAACAAGATCTTTTTTCCGTAATATTGCATTTATCCTTAATATATTATTGAAATACAATGAAGTAAAATCCCAAGGGAGTTAATATCCCTTTTTCTCTCTTTATAGTCGAACATGATTTCATATTAAATTGAAAAGTTAATTTAATTTTGTAAACGGAGCCCAGCCGCCTCCGCATTGAGATGATCGTTAAACTGGAAGTTATTGGCCTTAATACGGTGCGTGGCTACGATTATCGAGAATATTCCGCCAAGACGCACGCCGACGGTCGACGTCGACGTCGACGCAGACGCCGCGTACGTAATTTGCAGCGCTGATAATATCCGACGCAGACTGCTATAAATTTCTTACTTCTTTTTATATTTTTTTTCTTTTTTTTTTTTTGGTTTCCCGAAACACGTTCTGGCGTAACAAGAAAATTTATGACGTAAACGAGACTCTGGTGCTGTAGGCGTGGAAACTTGGTTGAAAAATTGTTTTCATCTGGAAAATAATTGAGGATAATAAAATATAAGAGAGTAGGAAAGCTACTCGATATCAGATGTTAACTTGGAAGCGTCAAACATTTTGAGGCTGAAATTTGAATAATCCACACGTGGGGTTGGGGGTTGGTACCCACGTAAGATATTGAAGTGGGGCACTGTGGGAAATCCATGACATTTAAAACCTTCATATCGTGTCAAGATATATAATTTTTTTTTTCATCACGTTCTCGCCCTGAAAATCAGCAATAAATTGAAGAAAAAAAGTTTAAAGGGCGGTTTTGTGACAGCCATTTTTTTACTCGACGGTTTTTAGGTCGAACTTCAAAAGGCTAAGAGTGAAAGAGGAAAATGCTTAAGAAACGTGTCGATTGTGCGTCTGCCGGTGTGCCTACGTGCGTGAATAATATGAAATTGAAGCACGGCTTGAAAATTGTCAAAATTTAAGAAAAAAAATTCACTGACGTGGTGATTTGTATTATTAACGAAAAATCATACAACATTTTTGGGTTTCCAATCGCCGCGTAAATATACAGAATTTTTCAAGTCTGACAAATTAGTTGAGAGAAACATTTAACCAGAGAATTAATTTCATTTCGTTATCTTTAGCCCATTTATCCAGTTTTTGGAAACCCGCCAACCGCGCTAATTTTTATTTTTTTTTGTCTCCAATATTCCCTACCGTCCCCATAATCTCCCCCACGGCTCCTACGTGCTCGTTTTCCATGCATTTTTACCTTCAATTTATTTTTTCACACTACTTTCCCATATTATCATAAAAATAATGCAAAATAACGGAAAGCCCATTATTCTCAAAATTATTGATGAATAATTATCTACCCGTCAAAGTTTGACTTTAACTACCTTAGCAAACTCCTACTGAAATGACAAGGCCAAAGTTTTACTTGGCAATGAGAAAACGAGGTGAACCAGACTTCGTCAACAGATCGAACTTAAATTGTCGGACTTTACGTATTAAGTAAAGCAAAAGTTAAATGTCCATTAACAAGATGAACGACGTAATCGAATTTACAATCAAGTACTTCCAGAACATTAACGACCCACAAGAATTATCACGGCGATTTCGTATTTCGCGCGTAAATTGTTCATCCCCTTGAAAGATTTTATCAGGTACAAAGATTCGTTCAAAAAGAAAATCGCAAGAAGACGTAAACCCTCAATTAAGGGCTCATTTTTTTCGCACGAATGGAAGCTCCATTATCAAATTTCTCCACTTTCACAAAAAGCAGTCCTCGAGGTAGCTACACATTTTTCGGTTGCACTGCCATTGAATTTTCGCCGCATTCCAATTTATAATTTTTCCCGCCCGTTAAAATGAACGGAAACAAGAATGAAAAGAGAAAAAAAAAATTCGAGACTACAAAAATATATTTATTCCTTATTTCGCACTTTGTCCATTTCTCACCGCTCATTGTACACCCGAACGCGTGTATCATTAATATATCGTTATAACGCAATAAATCACTTGATATCGTTTCAAGTCGATTGTAAAAATATATCATATTCGCCGTATAAATAATTATATATACTATATTCACTTTGGCGTGAATTACTTTCCAGTTTTAATTAGATCGCGCACATTCGACTCGGCCTTGATCGAGTACAGTATTAAAAAAAAGCGGTGTAAATTCTGAATTGGATATTAATTTTCATATTTCACCTCCCCCTCCGCTCCCTTAGGTAATCAAAGCACGTGTCACTTCGCTCGGCTTTGAATCTTATCCAGCGAAGGATTCCATATTTCTGGACGACAAGTGTAACTCACATAATTTATTCTAATTGCATCTCGTATAAAAATACGACGATAAGAATGTCACATATCGATACGATATTCGATATGCATAATATGTCAATTTATAAGTGGATTTAATAAACAGGAAAAGTAATTTTGTAAAAAATCATTATTTTGATGTCGCACAGGAAAATCGATAATTTCGATTAAATGACAGGTCGACGAGTATTAATAGCCCATAAATATCGCATGAATCAATATATTTGCGAATCGGGACGAAGAACCATTGCGACATATCGTGATATACGGGAAACCGCGATTTTCCAGTGTTCGACTCCAGGGAATTAGGGGAATCCCAGAGGAGCCCCGGATACCACTAGCGCTCGGTTCATGCGTTCGGAAATCTCACACGGAGCAATTCTGACATGTTATCCTTTTTTTATTAACGATACCGATGAGCTTTCCGAACGTACTCTACAGTCTCTTACAATCTCCCTGAGAGCTGCCGAGCGAACTACGCTATCAGGAGATTCGGTCTGCGTGTACGTGTTACCTTGATACGATAAGGGATAACGAAGTAACTCGGTAGACCCTTGGAGCAAGTATAAGAAAGTTCATCGAAGGATGTACCGCTCCCGGCATTTCGATACGACGATGTATAAGTATATTCATTAAAGATCCTCAGGGATGCTGCATAGGTTAATCCAAAGCTAAAGCGAGGGTGCGATAAAGAAAATAAAGGCCTTGAATAAACTACAGAAAAAATTGCACAAGACAGATTAATCCGATCGATACGTATCGAGTAAAGATAAAATGTGAGAAAATTAAAAAAAAAAAAAGTTACAAAAAAAAAAGTGAAACTCGATCATCCCCTAAGACGTTGAGCCTCCCTTAATAGTTGGCACAACAAGAAATCGGAGTAATCCTGGGTGACAGATGGCC